CTTCCCCCCTCCCCAGGTTTGGTTTTCTGGAAGTCTCTTGGAATTCTTTTGGAGCTTTTTGGAGTTCTTTCACTACTTTTGACGCTCTCAGAGGAATTAGGGAAAGTCACAGAAGTCAGTAATGAAGCTGTAGATTTTAGGAATTTAAGCAGATGCAAATAAATGGGAAAGCTGCCTAATTTTAGGATGGATTTTAATGTGACTGGTGAGAAAACCTTGTGTAATGTTCCCTGCACAACATTCATAGTCCATATCACAGTGTGGAGGATCCCTCTTGTGGTACCAAACATGGGTTTAGATCTGAGAGGATTTGGGCCTTTGGGTGTTTTCCAAACACGAGGGCAAACTTTTCTGGGCTGGAAGGGCCAGAAAACCCCCACGGGTGGGTGAAAGCAGGAGGGTGAAAAATAACCAGCGTGATTTCACATCTCACTTTTAAAATGGGGATGAGTCAAACGACCGCAGTCCTGGAAGATGAAACGCTTGGCAAACGCCACAGCCCTGGATGTTCAACCTGCCCCAGCACGGAGGAACCATCCCCTCCCAACCTGTGCCTAATTTAGGGCCTGATATCCCATCCAAAAACCATCCTGGAGGAGGATACGGAGGAGCAGAAGCCAACGAGCTCGTTCTGAGTTGCCTCACGCGCCGGGGTTGACGCGCTCCGGGTTGCGCCATCCCCCTGCAACTCCCCTGGGCCGAGGAACCCCTGCGTGGAGCCGTTCCCAAGTAAACAACCTTTCACTCCCAAAGGTCACGCTGTAAATAATAATCAGTGGGGAAAAATAAAAAAAAAAAACGGGAGTTTTGCATATCTCCTTCATTTAGCTCACGGGGGGTGGGTCTGGGCAAGGGAGCAGCTTTTCCGTTGGGTGGGAACAGCCCCGACTTCAGCAAGAGGCAAATGAAGAAGCAAATCCCAGAATGCCACAATAGCTGGGGTTGGAAGGGAACCTGTGGAGATCACAGGGACATGTCCAGGTGGCTCTGGGATGTCTCCAGAGAGGGAGATTCCAAGCCTTCTCCACGGTCCATGGCAAGAAGTTCTTCCTCATGTTGAGGTGGAACTTCCTGAGGTTTAGTTTATGGGCACCGCTCCTTGTCCTGTCTCTGGCAACCCTGGAAAACTCTGGCACCGTCCTCTTGCCACCTGAGCCTTCTCTTGCTGTTGAAAACACCGCATTTTAATTCTACCAAAACCAAAGTTACATTTAAGGGCGGCTCTAAAACACAAATAAAAAAACGTCGCGGGGACTCCTCGAGGATCCCTTCCTGCTTTGGGAGAAGGAGAGCCAGAAATGAAAAGAAAACCATTCAAGTATTAAAACAGCCCGCAGGCCACCGAGTTTTATTTTCCAACCCAGGATCCAAAAGGGGCGTGGAGAGGAGAAAAATCTTTTCCTGCCACCAATCACAAACCACTTCTCCCAGCACAGCCCCTCTTGAGGGACACGTGTCATTATGGAAAAGCCCACCCTGTGGCCCATCCAGGGGCACTTTTTCCCGAGCAGGGGGGGTGAGCTGCTGGCTCAGTCACTTCTTCTGGCTGGGGGGCCAGTGGCTTTTCTGTTTGCACTGCTGGCTCTTGACGCTGGGAGCCACCACGGGGCACTTCTGCTGCACCACAGCCTGGGAGCACCCGCCCGAGAAGCCCCCGCCGGCGTAGCCAGACCCTCCACTGCAATACCCTGCCCCCTCACCGACCCCCCCCATCGTCAGGGCGTCACTTGGGGGTGATGGGGGTGCAGGGTACCCATACCCAGACCCTCCTCCCAAATCCCCAGCGTGTGCCGAGTCCTCTCTGCTGTGCCCCCCTCCCCACCCCGCGCCGTAAGCGGGGACCGTCCCCACCGTGACGCCCCAGCCGGACGTCCCCCCGCAATCCCCGCTGGTTATCACCACAGACCCCTCCCTCCCGCACGTGTAGCCCCCCGAAATGCTGTAGGTGGGCGAGGCGGGCGGGCAGTAGGAAGGCCGGGGGCAGTAGGAAGGTCTCCGGGTGTAGGTGACCGAGCCTTCCCTGCCCCAGGAGAAGGAGGCGCGTCCGTGGGGGTCGGAGAAGCTCCCGCTGCAGAACCCGCCGTGGTGCAGGGAGATGTCCCTGGAGTAGCCCCGGTTCCTGTGGGCGCACTTGCCTCGGAGACAGTGGTAAAGCTGGAAGTGAAGAAAGGAAGGAAAGAGGAAACCACCCGGATTTGCACAGTTTTGCTTCGTTTTCCCAACGTGGCAGGAGTTGGAGGGGGAAAAATCAAGGAAAGCTTTGTCAGGGCCTGGGGGCGACTCCAGCCTTCAAACTGCCAAGCTCTGAGAGAACAAGGAATGGTTTGGGTTGGAAGGAGACCTTAAAAATCAGCTCCTTCCAACCCCCTGCCACGGGTAGGGACACCTTCCCTGGACCAGGTTGCTCCAAGCCCCTGTTCTTCAAATCCAAAGGTAGCTGGACTCTTCCTGGGATAGCTTCCCTCCTTTTTATCTCCAGGGTGTATTTCCAGAGAACCAAAATTCTTTTGCCATCTAAAAACTGCCGTGGCTTTCCCCACTCACCTCCATGTGCCTGCAGCTGCAGAGCTGCAAAATAACAGCCAGGATTATCCTTGTTTCTGTTTTCAGCCCGTTGCAAGGAGCAGTGGATCAAAGTTTCCACTCCAAGTGATGTTTCTGGCTCTGTTATTTCACCCCCCCTAAAAGGTCTTTTAGGGAAGGTAATTGGCCCCACACACAGAGGTCTGTGGCCATTATGAATCAGAGTTTGTTATTAAATAACATCAAAAACGGGTGCCAGGTTTTGCAAACCACATTCAAACCCACAAAGGTGGTGCAGTCACCACGTGCTGCTCCCACCACAGACTAATCTGGGTTTTGCCCTCTGGTTCCCAGTCCGGTGACTGAGGGTTTTTTGATCCATCCAGAAGAAAACTGCTCAGATCCCGAGGACTTTGCTGGGGCAGAGGGGTCCTGCTGCAAGCACAGCTCAGGGTCCCAAAGGAAGGTGCCTCCCAGGGACGTGAATTAAACTAAAATCTCAAAAAATAATCAGACTTACCCGCTTGAGCCATCGGAAACACATTTAGAAGGTAAAAGTCGACCTGAGTGAGGAGCTTTGCCAGCCTCGGGAACATTTATATGGCGTTTAACATATATGGGAAGTGAGACACCCTCGGGAATGATAAGGATTATTTACCTATCAAACTGGGATTTCAAAGTGTTTGCTTTGAGTCATGGCAACGATCCATATCTCCCTTCACACACTAATTGTTAGTCCTGCCTAATGAGCCCGTGCCTGGGCTCGTGGCCCGGGCTGTTGGAGGAACATTCCGGCCCTTGGAGAGGTGGGGGAGACCCAGGGGAGGTGGGTGGGAATGTGGGTGGGTGGGTGTAGGGGAATGCAAGAGGATTAAGGAGTGTGGGGCAGAGGGCAGAGGAGCATCTGGTGGCACTTTGACCCCACCCCAGCAGCTCCCCGGTGGCTCCAGGGTGAGATTTCCCCAAGGGAAAAAACATTTACATCCAAACCAGGCGGTCACCAGAAGGGATTGATTCCCCTCCCTGAATTGGGAATTTTACAAGGGTGCTAGAGATGTTCTGGAAAGCTCATGGGAGAATTTGTGGAGGTGAGAGTGTCCTACTGCCTGAACCCAGCGTGGCTGGATGGTGTTTTAGGGAAGGATCGTGCCTCCAAAATGCCTGGCCCTTCCTCCTTTTCCATATCCTTCTTCTGCCTTGGAAAGGAAGGGTGGTCTGGAGGGTTGCAAGATCCAAGCTGGCATCCCCAGCTCGTGGAATTTGGACCAGGCCTGCTCATCTCCAAGGAATTTTTGCTGTGGGGACAGAAAGCCTTGCACAAGGGGGGTGGTGATGCCATGGCAGGTTGTGAAAGCCCCGGGCAGGGAGGGATTTGAGGCCTGGAGGCATCTTCTGGAGCGTGTTGAGCTGCCTGAGGGGACTTGCTGCTGGTTTTAGTTCCCTTTACGACCCTGGGCTGATTTGGCTCCCTCAGTGTGTGGGGCTTCCCTCTGGGAACACATCGTGGAATCCCAGAATCCCTGAGGTTGGAAAAGGTCTCCAGGATCATCCAGTCCACCCGGTGCCCCATCCCCACCTTGTCCCCCAGCCCAGAGCACTCAGTGCCACTTCCACTCCTTCCTTGGACACCTCCAGGGGTGGGGACTCCCCCACCTCCCTGGGCAGCCCCTGCCAAGGCCTGACCACCCTTTCCAGGAGGAAATTCCTCCTGATGGACAACCTGACCCTCCCCTGGCACAGCTTGGGGCTGTTCCCTCAGCTGCCCTGAGGTTTGCAAAGCTGAAGGGAAAGGGGGAAGGGTGGCAGGGACGTGATGTTATTGCACACTTTGGGCATCAACAGCTGCTCTTGGGCCATCCCCACTCCCAGTTCATGGGATGAGCCTGGCCATGTGTCCCACCAGCTCCACACAGGTGGCCATGGGGTGCTGGTTCCTCAGAGGAGGTGGAACCGTGAGCTGGGGTGGTTCACACTTTTGTGAGCCGTGATCAGGCACCGAAGAGATGTTGGGTGCTGTGGTTATTTGGCATTTTGGGCTCTGCTCTTCCTCTACCAGGTGGAAAATGAAAGGTCCAAACACTCTGGGGCAACAAACTGGGTGGTTTTGGAGCTTCATCTGCAGCAAAGCACTGCTGAGCCCATCGTCATCTCCTCTACAAGGAGGAGTGAAACAGCTCATCAGGTGGATTTCTACCTTCCAAGACCAGGAGATGCCCGGTGGTAACATGAGAAATAACAAAAATCCCCACAAAAAAAGGCAGTTTTGAGCTATTATAATATTTATTAGATATAAAAAGCAGCACAACGTTGTCAGAGGCCTCCCAGCACCAGCAGCAGGGCAACCAGGTAAGTCCTGGGGTTCTCAGCATCCAGGTGAGCATCCAAGGAGGAGGAGAGGACTAGGCAATCAGAGCAGGGTCTGGGGGTGCAGAGGTGCCCCAGCAGAACCTCAGCTGGTCCTGCTGGACCTGGAGCAGTTACTTCTGGCCAGAGGGGAAGTAGCAGCTCTGCTTGGCCTGGTGGGACACGACGCTGGGGATGGCGATGGGGCACTTCTGCTGGGAGGACTGGGAGGACCCTCCAGAGCTGATGATGATGGTCTGGCCAGAGGAGCCGCCACCAGATCCCCCACAGCATCCAGAGGATCCTCCACCTCCCATGATGATCTTCCCTCCTGAGGAACCCCCACCACATCCTCCTCCCATGCCATACCCGCCGCTGGACCCTCCACCACAGTACCCAGAGGAGCCTCCACTGCCTCCTCCTACAATGATGGTCTTCGATCCTGAAGATCCCCCACCGTACCCTCCTCCCATCCCATAGCTGGACCCTCCACCGCAGTATCCAGAGGAGCCTCCACCTACAATGATGCTCTTTGAAGATCCACCACCACAGCCACCACCGTATCCTCCTCCCATCCCGTATCCCGAGGAACCTCCGCTGCACCATCCAGAGGAACCTCCACTGCTCCCGCCTCCAATGATGCTCTTGGATCCCGAATATCCGCCACCGTATCCTCCTCCCATGCCGTAGCCTGAGGAGCCCCCACTGCAGCATCCACTGCTCCCGCCTCCAATGATGCTCTTGGATCCCGAATATCCGCCACCGTATCCTCCTCCCGTGCCGTAGCCACCACAGGATCCTCCGCTACCTCCGCCTACAATGATGGTCTTGGACCCTGAGGAGCCACCCCCACAACCACCACCGTATCCTCCTCCCATTCCATAGCTGGATCCTCCACATCCAGAGGAACCTCCCCCCACGACGACGCTCTTCGAAGATCCGCCGCCGTAGCCTGAACATCCTCCGCTGGAACCTCCGCCTCCAACTATGACCTTGGCTCCTGAAGATCCACCACCATAGCCTGAACATCCTCCGCTGGAACCTCCACCTCCAACTACGACCTTGGCTCCTGAAGATCCACCACCATATCCTCCCCCCACCCCACAGCCACCGCTGGACCCTTCACTGCAGCATCCAGAGGAGCCTCCGCTGCTCCCTCCTACAACGACGACTTTCCCTCCTGAAGACCCTCCGCCGTATCCTCCTCCCATGCCGTAGCCCCCGCTGCAGCAGGACCCGCCTCCTCCGCCCCCAGAGCTGACAATGATCTTGGCTGACTCCCCGGAGCAGCAGGAGGAGCCTTGGGACTGGTAGCCCGAGGAGCTGCCCCCGTGGCACGAGGAGCCCCCGCCGTGGCAGCCGCTGGACTGGGAGGACATCCCGTGGCAGCCTCCGGAGCTTTGTCTGGAGCACATCTCCGAGCTGTGAACCTGCAAGGGAGGAGAACCCCAGAGATGCAGCTGAGCCTTCACAGCAGACCCCCCTAAAAAATAAATAAATGGAAGAGAGGTCCCAGGAAACGCCCCTTTTTGCCCCGTTCCTGGAGCTTTAAACCCCCTCACCCCGGTGAGGCACCAGGAAGAGCTCCCAGGGAGTGCCCTGCGGGTCACGACAGTTACAGAAACGCTCTCAGCGCTTCCCAAGGTGTGCACACACGCTCTGACACGCTCCCAGCTGGCAGCCTAAAACGTCTCGTCCTGCTGGAGGTCCCCTCTGGACATCCAACGCTCCCAGCAGCTGAAAATTCAGCCCTCGGAGCATCGGGCTGCGACTGCCCCCTCTAAGGAAGGGCGGCTCTGCTGGCACTTCAGATGGGTTTGTGGAGCCACCACAAGTTCCCCTGTTTGAAGAACCCTCAAAGACCAGCTGGTGGAGGGATCTCCCTGCACTGGGGGGTCCAAAATTTTCCGTATCAACGGCCTTACCTTCGGTGGATCCGGGAACTGGGCGATGCTCGGCGGAGGGTGAATGAGGAGCCCCGGGATGGGTGAGCTTTTATATCGTGCACATCGTGCTCCCCAGGGGAAGTGAGGACACCCTGAGGAATGCTGAGAGGTTTATTTACAGAGAGCTTGGCTCTGGCTGCCTCCTTCTTTGACTCACTTGCAGCACAGGGGTGATGGGAAGGAGATGCATCAACCACTTTCCGCAGCGCAGTTTGTAATTCTGTTTAATGATTCGCTTCCGGAAGTCTTGCCCTCAAACGGGGGCAAACGGCTTCTTGGGGTCTGATGTGGGGGCTCCCTGATGGGTTTCTGATGAATTGAAACTTCTTGGGTGCTCAGCAGAGAGTGGAGACAGAGAAGATGCTGAGGGGTGGAGACTGGGGCGAGTTTGGGCCAGAGAGTGATGGAAGGATGAGGGTGAAGGACGTGCTGGAGCAGAGCCCCAGAGAATTTTGGGGAAAGGGGGATTTCCTCAAGGACTGGCAAGAGGGGGAGCTGGATGGGGAGCAGGAGTATGTCCAGTGTGTCCTTTCCTGCTGGGAAAGGCTCAACAGGCCGGAGGTACCTCCTCAGGTGGCGTTCACTGCTTTGGAGACCCCATTTCAGATGACACTGTGAGGGTGACAGAGACAGGGGGGACATTTCCCCTCATCCTTTCAGGAGCCTGAGGTGAAAAGAGCTGTTAAAAGGAGAAGAGAGGTCTGTGCTCAGCTCCAGCTTCCAGGGGTCCCCAACCTCCAAACTGGAGTGAGCAAATTCTCGAAACCCTTCTGTTTGCAAAGGCGCATTTTGAAGGCCACCAAGCCCCTACCCTGGAGCTCTAGGGCAGCAAACATTTCCCCTGCCTCGACAGGACCCGTTTTCTGAGGGTCCTCACTGGCCAAACACGTGAGCTGGGGAGTCACCTGGGTATTTTCCTTGCTGGAGGGGGACAGTTTGTCACCACAGTTGTCCCAGCACCGGCTGCTGCGTGTTGTGCAGCCTCATCCTGACGCTGCGTCACGCGTGCTTGGAGCCTGACAGCAGATCCACCCTCCTGGGACACTGAGTAGAGATGGAATAATAGGGGGTTTAACTGTGAGGAGGACTCCTGACAGCAGCAGCAGCAGGTTCCAGCCCTGTCACCACGACGGTGATTTTGGGAGTGCACACCCAGCACCTCTGGTATGGGGACAGGAGCATCAGCACCAAGTCATGAAGGGAGATGGGGGGTGAGGGGGTTGTTCTGCATTTTGCTTTGGACTCCTTCCAGTCCAAAGGGCCTTATCTGTGCTCTCATCTCCAGATCTGAGGTGTCGCCGCGCGGTTCTGGCTCTCGGCTGAGCGTGGGTGTTGTACCTGTGAGGATCTCAACACCTTGATCCCTTCCGTGCCTCTGACGTGCAGGGACTTGCTCAGAGGGACACCCGGGGATTAGCAGCTCATCAGCACTCAGGGACAGCCGGGGATTAGCAGCTCAGTGGGACCCAGGGTGCGAGGAGAGGTTTTTGGAAGGGGTGGTGAGAGGGGCTCACAACCCAACCATGGATTGTGGAGACCACAAAGGCTTCACCCCTGCAGGGAGTGGAAATACTAAACCTGTAGCACATGGACCTGTTTGGTACCTGCCAGGTGTGGGGGGAAAGTGTGGCAGGATCCAGAGCTGCTGGAGGGATTGACACTGCCACAGCCCCTCCCAGCCTGAAGATCGAGGTGGGATCTCGATCCCTGCGCTGGGTAAAGGGAAATGGGGGGATGCAAAAGGCCCCAAATTCAGGCCACTCTGCCTGTTGTCTGATGCTCTGCCTGGGCTTTCTTCTGCCCTGCAGTCCCATCACCCCCAGGATGGGCTGGCAGGTCATGTCACCTCTCAAGTCTCATCGCTGCAAACACCTCACCTTGGGGTGTGTCCCTAAAAAACCCTTGGCCAGATCCCACATTCCCGTTTTCCCAGAGCTTCCTTCACGCACAGAAGTGCCAGTGTTGATGGTTGACACGGTGAAGGTGCTGCTGGGGTAAGAAGAACTCCCCAGTTTTTGTCCAAAAGGCAGAAGCTGGTCAGTCTCTATCCCCCAGGAGTTTGAGTGGCCAGTGATTCCCTTTATTCCTGATTTTGTTTCCTCCCCAACAATCACTTTCGTGAGATGGACAAGAACCCTCTTGGCTTCAAGTTCTCTGGACTGATCACACCTGTCCTAAAGAGGACTTTGGGAGTCTTCTTTGAGAGGACTTTCCCACTTTGAGAGGAAATGCATCCCATGTCCTGGGATGCATCCAAAGGGGCGTGGGCAGCAGGGTGAGGGAAGGGATTCTCCCCCTCTGCTCTGCTCTGGTGAGATCCCACCTGGAATACTGAGTCCAGTTCTGGTGTCCCCAACATAAAAGGGGAGATGGAACTGTTGAAGCAAGCCCAGAGGGGGCCATGAAGTTGATAAAGGGGCTGGAGCATCTTCCCTATGGAGAATTGTCCCCTGTGAGGGTGGGGTGGTCCTGGCACAGCTTGCCCAGAGAAGCTGTGGCTGCCCCTGGATCCCTGGAAGTGTCCAAGGCCAGGTTGGAGTAACCTGGGCTAGTGGGAGGTGTCCCTGCCCATGGCAGGGGAAGGAACTGGGTGAACTTCAAGGTCCCTTCCAACCCAAACCACCCTATAATTCCATGAATTGCTGCTGATTTCTCCACAAACATTGCTGGATGTTTCCTGCCATAATTAATGGCTTTGTGATTAATCCAGAGAAGGTGAGTCCATGAAATCCCAAGTGTCTTTCCAAAGGATGCTGCTCTTTGAGCAGGAAACCTCTGCAGGGAAACCCAGCCCTTGGGATTTCTTTGGGAAGGGGAAAACCGAGGAGGGGCAATTCCCCAGGTTGAAGCTGCAAACTTTGGTGGTTATTTGCAAGTGGGACAAATGACCATCTGCTTCCACAGGGAGGTTTCTCTCAGGGAAGATCTGCCAACAGCACTGGAGGCCGAAGAACATTCCACAGAGGAATGTTTTTGACACATTATTTGATTTTTTTGGTGGGGGAAGTAAACAGGGGGCATGAGAAAGGATAAAAGCAACCTCACACAACCAGTTCTGTCTGCACACTGAAATCTTTATTTCCCATTGCATTGATGGCACCCAGAGGAGCCACCTGGGAATTCACAGCTCCGGGATGTAGCACCGAGGGGACACGAGGGAGGGAGGGGGCTGTGCGTGGAGGGAGCAGGAGGAGGGCACAGATGGGCTGGTCCTGCTGGACCTGGAGCTGTCACTTCTGGCCAGAGGGGAAGTGGCAGCTCTGCTTGGTCTGGTGGGACACGACGCTGGGGATGACGATGGGGCACTTCTGCTGGGAGGACTGGGAGGACCCTCCACCGCCACCAGAGCTGATGATGATGGTCTGGCCAGAGGAGCCGCCACCGGATCCCCCACAGCATCCGGAGGATCCTCCACCGCCTCCACCTCCCATGATGATCTTCCCTCCTGAAGAGCCGCCGCTGGATCCCCCACCGCAGCATCCGGAGGAGCCTCCTCCTCCTCCTCCTCCTCCACCCCCAGAGCTGATAATGATCTTCTGGCCTGATCCCCCACTGCCCCCACCGTACCCTCCTCCCATCCCGTAGCCACCGCCGGATCCTCCTCCGCCGCAGCATCCAGAGGATCCTCCTCCTCCCATCATGCCCTTTGAGGATCCTCCTCCCATTCCACCACCGGATCCTCCACTGCCTCCCCCTCCAATGATGATCTTTGTTCCTGATCCACTGCCAGATCCTCCTCCCATTCCACCCCAGATCCTCCCCCACAGCATCCTCCACCACCTCCACCACCCATCATGCCCTTTGAGGATCCTCCTCCCATTCCACCACCAGATCCTCCACTGCCTCCCCCTCCAATGATGATCTTTGTTCCTGAAGACCCACCCCCGGATCCTCCTCCCATTCCACCACCAGATCCTCCCCCACAGCATCCTCCACCTCCACCTCCCATCATGCCCTTTGAAGATCCTCCTCCCATTCCACCCCAGATCCTCCCCCACAGCATCCTCCACCTCCACCTCCCATCATGCCCTTTGAGGATCCTCCTCCCATTCCACCACCTCCTCCTCCCCACAGCATCCAGAGGATCCTCCACCACCCATCATGCCCTTTGAGGATCCTCCTCCCATGCCACCACCGGATCCTCCACTGCCTCCCCCTCCAATGATGATCTTTGTTCCTGATCCACCGCCAGATCCTCCTCCCATTCCACCCCCGGATCCTCCCCCACAGCATCCTCCACCTCCACCTCCCATCATGCCCTTTGAGGATCCTCCTCCCATTCCACCACCAGATCCTCCACTGCCTCCCCCTCCAATGATGATCTTTGTTCCTGATCCACCACCAGATCCTCCTCCCATTCCACCCCCGGATCCTCCCCCACAGCATCCTCCACCTCCACCACCTCCACCACCCATCATGCCCTTTGAGGATCCTCCTCCCATTCCACCCCCGGATCCTCCTCCACAGCATCCTCCTCCTCCACCACCTCCACCACCCATCATGCCCTTTGAGGATCCTCCTCCCATTCCACCACCCGATCCTCCACTGCCTCCCCCTCCAGTGATGATCTTCATTCCTGATCCACCGCCGGATCCTCCTCCCATGCCACCACCGGATCCTCCACCACAGCATCCTCCACCTCCACCTCCCATCATGCCCTTTGAGGATCCTGAAGAGCCACCACTGGATCCCCCACCACAGCATCCAGAGGAGCCTCCCCCTCCGCCTCCTCCTCCTCCTCCACCAGAGCTGATAATGATCTTCTGGCTGCCACCACCGGATCCTCCTCCCATGCCACCACCGGATCCTCCACCGCAGCAGGATCCACCTCCTCCGCCTCCTGAGCCCCCAGAGCAGCAGGAGGAGCCCTGGGACTGGTAGCTGGAGGAGCTGCCCCCACGGCAGCAGCAGCAGCAGCTGTGGCAGCCGCTGGATTGGGAGGACATCCCGTGGCAGCCTCCGGAGCTCTGCCTGGAGCACATCTCAGCAGCCACCCTGCAAGGAACAGTTGTTTACTCAAGGGCAGTCACCACCCCTCCCTGAGGATTTCCCTCTACCCACCACCCCCAACAACGCTTTGCAATGTCCACAACCACCGTTTAAACCCTTTTATCCCAAAGCTGTTCCGTGTCCACCTCTACGCTTCGAGGAGCACGGGATGACCCTCTTCTGCTGCGTCCGTGAGAGTCCACCTTCCCTCCCACCTCTATCCACCAGGAAAACTTCACCAAAGCATTTCTGTTTTGCAGGGAAGGAAGAGGAGAATCTTCTCCGTGGGGCAGAACTGGGCTTACCCTTCTGGGCTCTCACCACGTCCACCACAGAGCAATGCCGGGCGAGTGAAGCCCCGCCGGACCCACCGGCTTTTATGCCGTTTCTCCCAGGTGGGAAGTGAGGCATCCAAAGGAATGGTGATGGGTTTATTTACTGAGCAGCGTCCTCCTTCAGCCCACTTGCCCTGACTCACGGGATGAGGGCGATGCCTCTCCGGTGCATCACTTCCTCGGCCGCGCTGCCCGTCCCACACGTGAGCTCCGCTCCCGAGGTTGGATTCCAAGGTAGGATTCCAAGGTAGGATTCTGGGACTCGGGGTCAGCAGCCTCTGCTCCAACCAGGAGACTGACAGCAGAAGGGGCTGTGGAGCCTTGTGTTGGTGGTGTGTTACAGGCTAAGGGCACACGGTGGGGTTGTTGGGGCGTCCCGTGCCACGAGCCGGACTTTGATGATCCTCGTGGGTCCCTCCCTGCTCAGGACATCCTCTGATTCCATGATTCCATGATTCCGTGACTATGGAGATGCCCAGGGGAGTGGAGGGGTCTACACTGGGTGGGATTGATGCTGCTGGGGCAGCACAGGAGTCTCACAGGGCTGGGTTTCCCCCCTGCCCCAGCGAAGCGTGGACCGTGACTTCGGTTCGATTCCACCCCTGCAGACAGGGCAGAGGTCAGGCAGGTTTTACACCCCCTCTGACACCTGTTTTGGAAAGGAGTTGTTGAGTGCTGCAGGTTAGGAGGTAGCAGGCCCAACATCCCCCCCCATTTTGTATCAGTATTTTGGGGGATGTTGCCCAAAGGGAGGAATTCCTCCCCATTCTAAGGCAGGATTTAGGAATATGCTGGCTGGGCTCCTGCTCTCACTCTGAGAGTCTCTGAAACTTGGTTCCTGGTTTTCCTGGTCATTTCTGGGGTGCAGGGGTGTCTGATAGCAACACCCCCACCCCCCCTTTAAGTGGGACCCCAAACTTTCCCTGAGCACTGTGTGGGCAAGCTCGGTGTTCGTGCAGTTGCCACTCACTGGTGTTTTAGCCCCCTGTGACTTCCCACAATAAAATCCCGGGCAATTCAGCTGTTCCTGTGGCAACTCTGGCTGGAGGAGCCCACCTGGACGTGGTTTGAGACTGGTTGTACCCCTGAGGTCCCCAAGGGGGAGAGGGCAGAGGGTAGGGGGACACCTGAAATGTGGAGAAAGGTCACTCCTGCCTCTCCTGGGACACCTCCAGGTGTCCATCACCTGCCTCAAACAGAACGGTTCAGGCAGGGGAAGGTTTATTTTCCCTTCCCTGCTAATTGCCAGAATCAACCACATCAAAGAAATCCCTTCCCACAGGGAAACTCCCTCCTGAAGACTCATCCCTGGGAGCTGTGTTTTAGCCCTGTGGGAATGAGGAAACCCCTGGTTATTCCAGAATCAGCATCCCAAGCCCTTGGAAGGGGTTTACTGAAGTCCTGGCCCTGCCACGGGGGGTTCAGAGCTGGAGAAAGGGTTGGAGAACCCCCTCCTTTCTCTCCTTGGGGCAGCTGTGAGCACCCCGTGTAGGGCCTCAGCTTCACCCACACCTGTCATAACACCCTTGGGGTATTTTCTGCTACTCTTGGTGGGACAGGTTTTGCAATCTTCTCTCTCCAGAACCGTTCCAAACTTCCTTGGGCATCACAAGACTTTTGGGTGAGGTAGAGGGGTCGCAGTGACTTCAAGCACTAACTTCGTGCTACCTCTTCTGACGGGCAAAAATCGGGATCATCGCTGGCAGGAGACATTAAAAGACCACCTGGGAATATGCAGTGAAGCCAAAACCTCTTTTACAGGTGGGTTTCAGTGTCCTGGAGCTTTTATTGCAACGGCATCAGCTCAGAGTCAAAACATGGAGCTGGAAATAAAGCGACCAGCGGTCGTAAAATCCAACCACTCACACACACGGGAGCTCTCGAGAACTGCAAAGTTTTATTGTCTTTGGGAAAGCACCAGAAAATCGAGGCAGGGAACAGGCCCCCCTGGCTGGAAGTCACAGCACCAGAGGTTCTGCTCAGCTGGAGAGCGGGACAGAAAAGTCCCCGAGGGGAAAGGAGCCAGGAATAAATTAAATTCTTAAATTTAACAGAGGAAGAAATGTGAGGCTCGTTCGTAGCTTGGACTTTCCAGGGTCCGTCGTGCAGCCACTACTTGTGTTTAGTCTGAGGTGGCCAGGAGATGGGCTGGGTCTGCTGCTGCATGGACATCCCCCCAGAGCTGGAGGAGCCCCCTCCACCACCTCCTCCTCCTCCGCTAATAATGATGGGCCCTTGGCCCTGGTGGCCTCCACCACCTCCACCACCGCCTCCACCACCTCCTCCTCCGCTAATAATGATGGGACCTTGGCCCTGGTGGCCTCCACCACCTCCTCCTCCTCCTCCTCCTCCACTTCCACCCCCAATGCAGATGGGGCCTTGGCCCTGGTGACCTCCACCACCACCTCCACCTCCACCACCACCACCACCACTAATAATGATGGGTCCTTGGCCCTGGTGACCTCCACCACCTCCACCACCTCCACCACCACCACCACCACCACTAATAATGATGGGCCCCTTGACCCTGGTGACCTGAGCCACCTCCACCTCCTCCTCCCATGCCACCCCCAACGCAGATGGGACCTTGGCCCTGGTGGCCTCCACCACCTCCACCACCTCCTCCTCCTCCGCTAATAACGATGGGACCTTGGCTTTGTTGACCTGAACCACCTCCACCTCCACCTCCTCCAATGCAGATGGGACCCTGGCCTTGGTGGCCTGAACCACCCCCACCACCTCCTCCACCACCGCTGCTGCCTCCACCAACAATGATAATGCCTTTGCCCTGCTGGCCTGAACCACCCCCACCACCTCCTCCACCACCCCCACCACCGCTGCTGCCTCCACCAACAATGATAATGCCTTTGCCCTGCTGGCCTGACCCACCTCCTCCTCCTCCTCCACCCCCACCACCTCCTCCACCAACACAGATGGGACCTTGGCTTTGCTGCCCTCCCCCTCCTCCTCCTCCCCCTCCCATGCTGCCACTCGGGATGCAGATGGGCATGTGGCTCTGGTGGCCACCTCCTCCCCCTCCTCCCCCACTAATAATAATGGGACCTTGGCTTTGCTGTCCTCCTCCACCTCCTCCTCCTCCTCCTCCCATGCCACCTCCAATGCAGATGGGGCCTTGACTTTGTTGGCCTCCACCACCACCACCTCCTCCTCCTCCTCCTCCAATAATGCAGATGGATCCTTGGCTCTGCTGGCCTCCTCCTCCTCCTCCTCCTCCTCCTCCTCCTCCACAGGAGGACGACATCATGTGAGTCTGATAAACGACGCCACCGCCACCGCCACTGCTGCCACCGCCGCCGCAGCAGCCGCCTCCTCCTCCTCCTCCTCCTCCGTGGCAGGACGATCCCTGGCTCTGGTATCCCATAGATCCTCCTCCACTGCTGTGGCAGCAGCAGCATCCTCCACCACCACCCCCGTGGCATCCTCCTCCTCCTCCTCCACCGCTGTGGCATCCACCGGACTGCTCAGACATCCCTTGGCCGTCGCCCTTCTGCTGGTGGGAACCCATTGTCCCAAGTGTGGTGGAGTCCTCCAAGAGAAAGGGAAAAAAAAAAATAAAATAAACAAGCCTGAACGACATCCAAGGGGAGGGAAACTTGTGTTGGTTGTGCCACCTCATCCCCCCTCCTGAAGGCAGGTGGACAACACAGGGTGGACACAGGGCCTTGGTTTCCCCTCTTTGCTCCCTGCCTGCCAGCTGGTGCAAAAAGGGTGTTTGCAGCATCAGGAATTCATGAACTAAAAGGAAAAGCTGGGAAGTTTTCAGCTTATCCCACACAGAACTTCCTTATCCGTATTTAACTTCCTTTTCTTTATCTAGGACAAGTGCAACCAGAATAATCCCACAGTAGTTCCCTCTTGCAGCAGGTTGTAGGAGTGACACTCTGCAAAGAGGCCTCTGGTGCTCCAGAATTACCCTTAGCCAAGTGTGGTTTGGGAATTCTGAAAGGAATGCTGGGGGATAGGGATTAAAATTCCACAGCTGCAAGAAACAAAGAGCACGGGTCACCATTTGCATGACAATAACTTGGTCGAGCTTTGAAATTCTTCAGTCTGGGTCTCAAAGGAGCACAAGTGAGGGCTTTATTCCTCCCTAAAAAGGAGAAGGAAGAGGAAGAGCCTGTGGAAAAGTTATCAGCAATGCAAAAGAAGGGGGAAAAAAAGAAAAAAAGCAGCTCCAGGTCATCGCTCTGAAGGGTTTGATGTGTGTCTGTGCCCAAGGGATGCTCTGAGGTTTGAGCATTTCTTTGGTACTTGAATCCCCCTCCCCACAACCCACATCCTTCTGCTGGCAGAATAATTTCTCCTCCTCTGACAGGCAGCTCTAGAATGAAAAGGATCTACAGGTCAACGAGGTGTCCAAACTGCTGGAGGACAAAGTGGCTCCTCTAAGAAAAAAAAAAAGTGGTCAAAACCCCAACCCTTTCCCATTCAGACAAAAGGCTGGAAAAGCAGAACAATCCCCCGTTCTGTGCTCCATCTCTTTTGTTTCCAGCTCGTTGCTAAGGACCTGCAAACCCCTCTTTTTCCCAGCCCTTTCCCTCAGGATGAATATCCCAGGGGCTGAATCCAAGGGGGCTCCAAACACCACGTTGCTTTTCCTGTGTGATTACACAATTAGGGGTGGGGAAAAAATAAGG